TTGCTGATGTGGCTTTTTTTCTTTTTTAATCTTTATTACAAGATATAGCAAGATGGCACAGTAGATAGAGTGCTGGGTCTGGAGTCAGGAGTACATGAGTTCAAATGCAGCCTCAAACACTTACTGTGTGACCTTGGGCAAGACCCTTCACTTTGTTTGCCTCAGTTTCCTCACCTGTAAAATGAGCTGGAGAAGGAAATGGCAAACCACTCCAGTATCTTTGCCAAAAAAACCCCAAATAGGATCACGGAAGAGTCAAACACAACTGAACAACAACTGTTCTCTGTATAGGGGAACAGAAAGAGCCATATTTAGAAATGAAATGAAAGTGAAGTAAAAACAAATGGCAACTATTAAAGTAAGATTTTGAGGAGGAAAAAGAAAATCATTTGTTAGTGAGTTTTTGAGTAAAGCAAGTAATCTTCAGTACACCTAACTTTCTTCCCTGTCATGTAGCATGAGATTCCCCATATTCAAGATTGCCTGGCATGCTGCAGATTTCCTTGTCTATATTTCCATGGGTCACTAGCAGCTTCCATCATCCTAGTCTACAAGGAATTCTCCAGCCAGTCCTTTGGGATTTCTTGTCCTATCCCAGGTGCTTCTTTTGAATATTGAAAACAAGGGACAAAAGTGGTTAACATTCTGATCATATTTGCCTTATCCCAGCTCCCCCTTCTCCCTTCCCCTTCCTGACTGTTTTTCTCCCTGCCTGACTTTGCCCCAGATAAGCACTAGGATTCAGAGGGGTAGCAATTTTAGCTGTGGTCTTGCAAAGTCCTTTAAAATCACTTTGGCTAAGACAAACCTCATTATCCTAAACAGCAGAACCTGTCGATACTTGTTCATGATGTGTAGGCATAAAATGTCATGAGGAAGCAGACAGAAGATAAGGATCCTAGAGCACCTGGCACCTGCACAGCCCTCAATGTACTTTGTGCTGTCTGTCACAATCCCTGCATCAGAGCCAGAGAGCACAAGGTTCAATTGAAGCTGGCTCTTGCTCTCAAGATAAGAACTGACATCTGCAATCTAATCAACTTGGAGACCAACTATGTAATCTGATGGCTTGGGATGTCTTTTAACTGAGAAAGAGGCAACACCCTCCACAGGTCATAGCTATGAAACTGGAATGACATTGATGTTAACAATAAGAGCCTGTGTCTAGGTGGGGCTCAAAAGTCTAAAAGGGCTTTCCCAGCACTTAGCACAGTGCCTAGTAAATGGTGGTGTTGTTGTTCAATCATTTCAGTCATGTTCAACTCTTCATGACCCCATTTGAGATTTTCTTGGCAAAAATACTAGAGTGGTTTGCCATTTCCTTCTCCAGATGAGGAAACTGAGGCAAACAGGGTTAAATGACTTGCCTGGGATCACACAGCTAGTAAGTGTCTGAGGCTGGATTGGAAATCATGAAGATGAGGCTTCTTGATTCCAAGTCCAATGCTCTATCCACTGTGCCATCTAGCTGCCCAGCCTGATGAATAGTAGGTACTTAATAAATACTTATTGAATGAATAATTGGCCGACTCACTGACTTCTCCCAACAATTCTTTGCAGGAAATAATATTGTTCCCATTTTGATATTTATTTAAAAAACACACACAGACACACTGTTCCCTAGTACCACAATAATTTTAAAAGGAATGCAGTGGGATTTTAGTTCTTTTTTTTTTTCAAAAAAAAAGCACATGTTTAAAGCTTATGTTTAAATATCAGAGACTGGACTAGAACTCAGGTCTTCTGGGTCCAAGGTTCTACTGGTACACTGTCCCCAGTTGAGAAGAGAAGGTTTTAGCATTTATTGAGAGAACTTGTTGAATACTGACTGAATATGACATTTTGGAGTGGGGATGATGGGGGTGGGGTCTTATATTTCTCTTTGGTCCTAATCTTGCCATTCACTAGCACTGTGATTTCAACAAGTACATGACTCTTTCTCAATGCCTCAGTTTCCTTATCCACAAAATTGGGCAGTTGGATTAGATGGTCTCTAAGGTCCCTTCCAGCTCTGAGATGTTGTGATATAATTGGCCAAGTGTAGTGAAGTTGTGGTCAGAGTACCTGGGCTCAAATCCTCACTCTGCCACTTTCTGCCTGCATGACCACAGGAAAGTCACTTAACCTCTCTGGCCCTCAATTTCCTCATCTGTAAAATGAAGAGATTGGACTAGATTACATCTCAGGTCCATTATAAAGGTGAATCTATGATTCTATGACCACAGTATTTTCCCTAAAAAGAAAATCCTCTGAAAAAAAATGAATCCTCTGAAAAAAAAAAAAAAGAGCTACCCAAGGCACATTTTCACAATGCAAATCATAACTGCTTCTTGGTAATAAGTCCCATGGATGCTATGAATGAATAATAAATATAGCATCCAGTTAATTCAATGTAGTTCTATGTATTCGAATGGGAATTAACCAACCTTATTTTTAAAGTAATGTTGGACATCTCTTTAAAACTAAGTCATCAAATGATGTTTTTAATGTGGGTCTGGAAATACATCCAGCAATTAACAAAAATTGTGGCCACCCTTTATTACTCCGTAATATGTCCCTTTATTATTTGGATTACTATGTGAAAGATATAAAAGATGAGAAATTTTCAAATCTTCCTCATACTCACCAGACCAAAAATAGAAGAGATAGTGTAAAACTGTAGGTATATTTCCCTCTGAATTAATTTTTATAACCCAACCAGGTAAGACCTCAAAGATATGTAAATCCTAAACACTTCAGGAATAATAACAAATTATTTCACGATGGAAGATTATTGGCTTAGAGGAATGAATATGAAGATTTCAAATCTACAGTAAGTGTACTTTAAAGGAAATGACTGTAGCAATTTCCCTAGCTAAGCTATAATCTCAAGTTAATTTTGCCAGAATACTTATGATTTGATCCATTTCTACAAGGAAACAAATCAGAAAGAAGGCTCATTTCTGTGGCTTCTAAATAAAATTGAGGTTTAAAATATTTTTACTGGCACATGAAAGCATCAGACCATCCCTGTCCAAGTAATCTTGCCTGTCTCTGAAAACATGCCTGTCTGTCTGCTTGCTTGTCCATCTATGCATCTGTTCGTTCTGACATTGTTTATGGGAAGCCAGAATGCTTGAATGAGTGATGAAAATATTTAACAACATTTGATTTGATTGAATATTGAACTTTTCTTTCAAATCTTTGATGTTGTACAAAACCAAAGTGGAAGGGGGAGAATAACAGGAAGAGAGAGGAAGTAAGGAATGAGATATATAGCACATAGAAAAGGTCAACATTGTGAAATGGATAATAGAGGGGCTGCTTTAGTGTCAGGGAGAGCTGAGTTCAAGACCTCCTCCTGACCCATTTTAGCTAGACAAGTCACTTAATCTCTCCATGCTCTAAGCAAGGCTTTAAGACTGAAAGGTAAGGGTGGGTTGTCCACCCACATTGGTAAAAGGAGTTTCTGTCATAGAAATTACATATATTAGTGAAATCATTGGTTTAGACCCATATCATAAAATTCATGTAATAATAGCTGACATTTATAAGGTACTTTATGGTTTGCAAAAGGCTTTTTATATTTTATTTCATTTGATTCTCCCACCACACCTATGAAATAAGATCCTATTATAATCTTCATTTTACAGATGAGGAAATAGGCTGAGTAACAAATGTAACAAAGTAGCAAAATATGTAACAAAGTAACAAAGATGAGGTTACATAATAGTAGATGTCTGAGGTAGAATTCAAATCTGAGTCTTCCTAAGTCTAGGTCCAGTTTTTCATTATGCCAAGCTAAATAAGATATGTATTTAATCCACTGAATGACTATGCCCTTATTCATAGTTGAGTGTTGTGTATTATGGGCAACAATTAATGAAAGACACATAATAAATGCTTATTGATTGATTGACTGATTGACATATAAGCCATATTGATACAAACACAGAAGTTAGATCTTCTATCGGTGACCTTGTATAAGTCCCTTCACCTCTCAGGGTCTGTTTCCTCCTCTGTAAAATGGAGGGTTGAACTAGATGGGTCCCTGAGATCCCTTCTGGCTCTGCCCCTTTTATCCTATGATCTTAAGTTGCAAGAAGAGCTTAAGTCTTAAATCAGAGAACAACCCCCATATTCCACTTTTTTCCTGTTATTTCATCTTTAAAACTTTTGGCCTGAACCATCCAGACAATTATCCCCATATCCATTCACAAACCCAGCAGTAGGTATAATTGGTGTCCTAGGAAGGAAGATGGAGTCACAAAAGTGGCCCTGGTTTGGGGGCAATTTTAAAGAAATGCCAGTCTCACAGCACTGGCCCTGAGAAAATAATGTTTGACAAATATATAGATTGTGTGTGCATATTAACACATAAATACAAAGTGATGAGGCAGTCTCCAAAAACACAAACAGCTCAATCTCATTCTTCTATGTTCATATGTTGTACATACATAAAATGTTCTTACCTGCAGCATTTTTTTCTTCTCAGCTTCATCGTATGCTTCTTCATTTTTACCAATTAATATTCATTGAGCTCTTATTTTTGTCTAGATTTAAAGGTTTTCTGAAAGATTGGATAGCAGGGACAGCTTATATAAATACCAAAAAACATGACGAAAAATGTTTTTTTTTCTTCATTTAGGCTTCTGAGTTCAGTTATTTATTTCATGAATTTGTCCAATTAGGTATTATAATCTTGACTGCAACCATGTAGAAAATGGAGTAGAAAGTGTATGAGGATAATTTAATAACAACAGCTTTCCTCTCTTGTGAAATATTTTGGAGAAAAGAATCATTAGACAGAGGTTTGCTTTTTATTTACTTAGGTCATGAGGCATGTCAGTTTGGTGATCTGCTCTTGGCAGGAAGTCCTTAATTAGAAATTCCTAGAAAGCGCATCTCCCAAGGAGGTGCCTATTAAGACCTAAAGACAAAAGGAGTTAGTAGGAAAGCCCTTATGAAGGGCAGAAAATCCAGGCTAAGGTGAAGAAAAAGAGTAAATTGCTTCTCAGCATAAAAGCAAAACCATTCAGATGGGGTGCTGGATTTTGAATGAAAGTCTGTCTGTCGTGTTACTAGTAAGTAGCTCTTTACTTTTCAATGTTACAAAATATGTTAAACATACTTTGAATCTGAGTGTGTCAGAATGTTAAGTGATTTCAAGTATGACACAAAAACAGAGATCTGATTAGGAAACATTCAATAGTCATATTTAATCTACCCTTAAAGAATTATGTAAAGTTGTTTGTGTGAGCAAGCTCATTTTCAATTATTTTTAAAGTCAAGTATTTTGTTCTTGCATAATGTATGAATTGGCTTCTGGAAATCAAATGAGGTCTTCAAACCAGCCTGTAAGATTGGGGTCTTTCTCAAGTACTTTTTGAGGTTTTTGTCTCCCTTCTTCTAGATGTCATTGACCTTTAGTAATGTCTCATTGGGAATTTCCAACCTTCTGAGGTTTCAAAACAGCTTGGAGTACTTCCACAGGTTTTTAAACATATAATAAAAATATTTACAATTTATTACTGTTATAATTACCACTAAAAACAATTTGATAATAAGGAAGGGGGTGCTGCATTTCTGATTAGCATGATGAAATTCTAATTTAATTTTTAAAGACCTGTAAGTGATTCTGAATACAGGAAAAGGTTGACGATGGTATTGATTGACTCACTGTCTCCATTCTCTTCTGTATTCCAGCTGTCATGGTTGGGAGGGAATTTCTATCTGTTTATTGACACATTCCATTGGTATGAAGAAGAGGATGCATTTCTTTACACACGGGTTATTCTAGGTGTAAGTAAAAGTTTGTGAATTTTTGGAAAATAATATTCTTTTATCTTCATCTTCCTTCTTTTTAATTTGCCTCTTTTTTTTTTTTTTTGGACTTTTATCCACACACAGTCAGCCTTGGCTTGGGCAAGAGCATCAGCGGTGTGCCTGAACTATAATTGCATGTTAATTCTATTACCCATCAGTCGAAATTTCGTTTCATTTTTGAGAGGAACAATCACTGTAAGTACCACACCCAGCTTGACTTTTCTCTGTGGTCAGCATGGCCATTAATCCAGTGTCTGACCAGGGCCTTCCAAATAATGTATGTTTAATAAATGTTGGTTGAATTGAATTATCTCAATTTGGAGGAGGAGGGTGTCCATGCCTTTGATTTCATGTATTTAGGGAACTCTCACGATAATAGCTCCCTCCATGGATGTTGTCAGGACAGTTAGGTGGTACAGTGGATAAAGTGCAGACCCTGGAGTCAGGTGGACTTGAGTTCAAATGTGGCCTCAGCTACTTACTAGCTATGTGATCCTGAGTAAGTCACTTAACCCCTATTTAACCTTAACCCTCAGTTCTTCATCTGTAAAATGGGGACACACTGGAGAAGGAAATGACAAACCATTCTGCTATCTTTGCCAAGAAAACCCCAAATGGGGTCACAGAGAGTTGGACATGACTGAAACAACTCAACAGCAACAACAGGTGGTGTCACCTTTCTAGATATTGTTATCAATCTGTAGCTTACAGTCTTGCAGAATCACTTGGGGCACTGGGAGTTTAACTGAATTGTCCATGATCACACAGCTGGCATGCGTCAGACTGCTCCCCTTATATACTTATGCAACATTGCCTTTCTAATCCATGTTACCCTAGTCAAAAGCTAAATGTGCTTCATATAAGGCTTAGTTTGCTCAAAAGATCTGTGTTTGTCCAGAATGGGGAGCTCCGAGTGTGGGAACTCCTTCCACCAACATTTATACATCATAATAAATATTGATATTTGAACTTGAGTTATTTGGCTTTCAAAATGTACTCTCTATCCACTGTGCCTCATTCTCTTTTCAAGTCTTAACATCCCTTTTAAACTAAGGTTTATGTCTTCCTAAGAGGGGAAACCGGTGATTAAGCCAGGAAATCAGAATTTCTAATTATACTCTCACTTCTGCCATTTACTCCCTACAAGATATTGGCCACATCATTCAACCTCTCCGTATCTCATTGGCTCTGTCTGAAAAATGGAGTTAATGAACTTGACCTGATTCACAAAGGTAAAACTACTATAGCAGCATGAATTCTCACCATTTCAAATTCAAAGAACTTACATAAATAGTTCAGCAGAGAGCCCACAAGGAAACATCTTACAGAATAATGGAATTTGAAAACCCAAGTCACTGGATTTCTTAGAGCTGAATCTTATCCCAAAATCACAGGCTTTTTTCCTAATTATACTTATTTCAAAATGTTTGGTGCTTGGCCATACATCTTGCCAAAGAGAATCACAACTTATATAAAATTACTTTCTGACAAGGGAAAAATGTGGGGTTTTCAAATCTCAGCATGAATAGAAATCATTGATAATAAGTTAGTAAAAATCCATATAATCTCTATAATGTCTTTCTCCAAGTATCTTTAAAAATTAATGGGTCATTTAACCCATATAGGATTATGTTCTATAGATGGGATAAGATATGAAACCTATTTTTCTAAATGCAGAAACCAAGGAATGGATGTTAGCAGGTTTGCCCAAATCAGTGAGGCTCATTCAGTTAGTCTTAGGAATTCAGACGTTGGCAGAGTGGAGAGCTGGGCATAGAGTTGGGAAGATTTAGCTTCCTGAGTTCAAATCTGGCCTCAGATACCAACTGATTTGGTGACTCTAGGCAAGTCATTTAACCCTGTTTACCTCAGTTTCCTCCTTTGTAATCATTTTACAATTTACAATTCAGCTCATTGCTAGAGAAGAAAATGGCTAACCATTCCAGTATCCTTGCCAAGAAAATCCCAAATGGGGTCACAGAGAGCTGGACATAACTGAAAAATGACTGAACAAGAAATTTAGACTCATTGACTTAATTTTCCCCCTGAATTTGACTAAATAGGTTGCCCTTCCTTCTTCCGATTGAACAAGTTGAAGGAAGGAAGAGAATTGAACAAATCAACTGGTTGTTTTAGTGTCATATAGACAAAACTCAGTAATTCAATGGCAGAAAAAAAGAATGAGCATTCAGATTTCCCAATTCTCATTCCATTATCCATTATATTCAAAAACTATCATGTCTTCCCATCCAGTGTTGCGGAGGACCATGGAAGAAACAGTTAGACAAAAGTCTCAAGTTCCACAAGCTGGTGGCCTATGCAATAGCTATTAATGCAAGTAAGTATTTCATTATTTATAGATTTTCTCTTCCTCCTGATTTATGAAATTTGGGATTATCCAAAACAATTTTCTAAGAACTTAGATATGATACCCTCCCCAAAAAAATAAAATAAGAGAATCAGGGTTTAGCCTTAGGTAAGAAAAATCTACAGCAAGGCAACCTTGTGTTAGAACTAGCAAAGTATAGTGAGAAAACCCTAGATTTTAGTCGGATAAACTGGGCATGAATATTCTACTATATGCTTACTTTGTGACCATGGAGAAGTCATTCAATCTTTCTTGTGCTCATTTTCCAAATATTCCAAAATGAGAGATCTCTCAGCCGCCTTTCTTCCCTAAATTCTATAATTTGCCTTCTGTAGGGCCATTAAAGTCAAGAAAGAATAATTTGGTATTTAACCTTTTAAAGTCTATTTGCTCAGATGTTCTTGCTGCCCCATTTTCCACTACTTAGTATGGGATAGTTGATTAACCACTATTTTCAATTATGAATAATTAAGCTTGGGGGGTTATTGTATGCTCAATTTCTCCTTAAAAGTAAATATGTCATTTTTAATACAGTTCAATGGGGTACAGCACTAACTGGTGCAATTAATTGCATTTATGGTCACACAAAAATAATTTTTAGGTTGCAACAAAGGAAGAAATGAGAGAAGAAGAAAGGGAGGGAAGGAAGGAAGGAAAGGACGGAAGGAGGGAGGAAGGGAGGCAGGGAGAGAGCAAAGGAGGAAGGGAGGCAGGGAAAGAGGGAGAAAGGGAGGGAGGGAGAGAGGAAAAGAGGGAGAAAGATAGAAAGGAAGGACAGGATGGAGAAAGGAAGCAAGGATGGGAAGGAGGAAGGAAAAAAAGAAGGAAGGAAGGGAGGGAGGGAAGGAGGGAGGGAAGAAAAGAAGACAACAAAGTTGTGGAAATTAGTAGACAGTTGTAAAATAATGGATATAAACTGCTTTGAAACGATATAAAGCACCATAAATATTTAAGGTAGATACATATTTTTTCAAAGGCTCCAAAATTAGTATATTTCAATATGCGCCAAAAATGAAACAGGAAAACAAAGATATTGAAATGAAGGGCTACACATATGATAAAGAGTTATGATCCAGGACTCTTTGCCTCAAACCAATTTAACTATAAAATGTGTTCCTCATTTGTTTTTATCCTCCCATGCATAGAGAATACCAGAGTAAAAGGAACACTCCAAAACAAATGTGAATTTAATTAAGCAACAAGATACGACAGACTTTGCAGAAGTGCAAATTAACATAGATTTGGGGTGTGCAATGAAACATGAGGCAAAGATTCTCCCAATTGATTTTTCTTAACACCAGATTAAACTAACCAGGGAGATGCTTTGAAAAAGACTTTGTGGTTTGTTAAGGAATAGGGGTAAAGAGATGCGAGACTCAGAAGAAAAAGATCTAAAAGGGAGTATCAAATTAAACGAAAAGGAAAGATCCAAAGCCAAGAAAAAAGATGGCAGAAAGAACCTCTGATATTTTGCACTATGAACTGTGCTGGAACAAGGGCACCACAAGCCCTATTCCCCTCAAGTCAAGGATAGGGCTTACCCTTTGGTGCTCAAATTTTTAGGTGATCTCTTCCTCCCTCATTGAGTAATCACAAACTACTTAGCTGCTGACCGGACCATGAAAAGCATTGTGTTCCTATTCCCAGAAACCACTTGTCTGATCAATCAGCAAGCATTTATTAAGTTCCTCTCTGTGTTAAGCATAGTGAAGGGCTCTGAAGGAAGATACAAGAACAAACAATGAAGCAGTCCTGGCTCTCAAGGAACTTGACTTCAATCAATTTTTTTTTTAATTTCTTATGTTATAATTTTTGAACCTGTGCTTCTAGAACAGAAGAGTGGAGAGACTAATCTTAAAGATATTCAGAATAGAAATAATAACAATAACAATAATATCTTGGTAACCACAGTGGATAGAGTGCTAGGCCTAGAATCACAAAGGTTTGAGTTTAAATCTGATCTCAAATACTTACTAGCTGTATGACCTTGGGCAAGTCATTCAACCTATTTCTGCCTCATTTTCCCCAATTGTAAAATGGAGATAATGATAGCACCTACCTCCCAGGGTTGTTGTGAGAATCAAACCAGATAATATCTGCAAAGTTTTTAACACAATGCCTGGTATATAGTAGGTACTTAATAAATGTTTGTTTCCTTCCTTCCTTCCTTCTATAATAACAATGTTAGGGCACAACGATGTTGGTTACAATCACTAAATTTTGCTGAACAATCACCATAGTGGAAGTTTTCCATAAGCTGTTAAGTTGTAATCCTATATATAAACATAAACATAAAAAGTCACAGAAGAGAAGGCCAGACCTAGGCCTCAGAGTGTTGAAATAAAAAACTGCTGGATGCATCTCAGGAGAGAGAGCAGAGAATTGCAAACTCTTCAGTATTTGATCATCTCCTAAATACCCACCCCGAATTTTTTTCCAAAAGAAGAATTAGTCCTAATACAGTTCTGCCAGAGGTACTGTGAACTCTCTGGAAACTCGAGTCTTGGTCCAAGCTAACAAGATTTCATGGGATTTATAAATGAATGCCACTCACACTGCCAGTAGGATGGAGACTTGGACACTGTTCTGATTGGATAAATCCAAAAATCCTCACACATATATAATATGGTAATAGTGTACCTTACAAAGACAGGTGAAGTTGAGGAAAGAAGATCAGTGACTCTCTAGGAATCAAACAGAATGCACTGTCTTTCCTAGCACTTCTAGACAATGAATTGGATTTTCAGAACCACTAAAATAGGCTCCCAGAGTAGATCCTTTTCTGCTGAATAGAATCAGGTTAGTGGCTAGCAGATTTCCATGGTGGTTAAAGGAATAGAAGGCATTCAAGTAGTACTCTGCATTATTATTTTTTTTAAAGTATTTAGCAGTGTGTGAACTATCCCCCTACTATACTGTGAGCTTTATTCATTGTTTAATCCCTTTTCCCCCCACAAATTCCTACTGCAATGTCTCATTACGGTTGGAAAGTGACCCTCAGTTCTTGAAAGCCATGCCAGTGAACTGTAGGTTCTGGAAGGTTCTAACATATTGGAAAAGCTTGAAGTATGATCCTGCCAGCTGACTGTGTCTACTTTCTGAAAATCTAGCTAAGTACCGAGAAACTCATCATGAGTAGACTGGTCATATGCTAATGAATTATTTGGCTTTGACAACTCAAGAATCAAAGAAAATACAAAATCAACCTTAGTCCCATGTGGTTGTTTTGTTCTTCCATGATGAATGTGTTGGGAGGACAGAAAAGGAGCAGAGAGTGCTATGAATCACATCCTTTTTAGTCTACCAATGAACTATTAAGTTAACTGTAGATTTTCTAAATGTTTGATCTCTGTCCAATGACTAATGAATTCAAAAAAATCAATTTCACAAGTACACTATGGGAGAAGCATGACTAGACCGAAGTTAATCTGAAAAAATTATCTGAGGGTTTTAGTGGAATGCAAATTTAATATGGATCACCAACATGAAATGGCGGCCAAGAAAACTAATGTGATATTAGACTACATTAGGAAAGGCTTAGTATTTAGGAATAAAAGACCACATCTAAAGTATCAGATTCAGTTCAGGATACCACATCTAAATGATGGCATTGACAAGCTGGAGAATATCCTTAGGGGAGTAATCTCCTAGGAAGGGATTCTTTTTCAGGTCTAAATTGGACTAAGGGGCCATTGAATTTCCTTCCAACTTTGAAATTCTGTGATTCTATAATTGACCTACTATTAGAAAATATGGACTATACCAATATCAATATTCTCATGATAAACGAAACCAGAAGACAAAATAAAATTTCAAATTTTATGCTGTCCACATCCAGAAAAAGAACTACGGAGTCTAAATGCAGATTGAAGTACATTATTTGATCTCTCTCTTTTTTCTTTTTTCTTTTTTGTTTGTTTCTTCTTTCTCATGGTTTCTCCCACTGGTCTGGTTCTTCTTTTCAACATAACTAATCTGAAAATAAGTTTTATATAAGTGTATATGTAGATTCTATATCAGATTGCTTGGGGTGGGGGGAGGGGAGAGATGGGGAGAAACTTTGGAATTAAAATCTTGGGAAAGTGAATGCTGAAAACTAAAAATAAATAAATTAATTAAAAAAATTTTTTTAAATATAATTTTTTTTAAATCTCAAATTTTAATTAAAAGGAAGGTCCTCCTTATAGAGGAAAATGAGGAGTTAGCAGAGTTGGGTTTTTTCATGTCCTTAAAGACAACAAGAAAGATCATCTCATGGAACAATTGGTGTTTTCATTTTGTAATGCTTATTTATGAGTACAGAGCAGCTAGGTGGCACAGTGGCATTGGACCTGTAGTCAGGAAGATCTGAGTTCAAATGTGACCTCAGACACTTACTAGCTGTTTGACCCTGGGCAAGTCACTTAACCCTATTTGCCTCAGTTTCTTCATCTGTAAAATGAGCTGGAGAAGGAAATGCAAAAGACTCCAAGATCTTTGCCAAAAAACCCCAAACAGGGGTCACAAACAGTAGGACATGACTGAAAAATGACTGAACAATATGAATAAAAAGCATGAGCATAAGTGAAAAAGACAACCTTGAAGATAATTGCAGCTTAAGCACCATTATCTCCTTCAGAGATGAAGAATTAGAAAAATTCTACAATGAAATAGGTAAGATCCTTCAAATCAAGTCAATGTATCCTATTGATTACTTCAATGCCAAAAAAAGGTAGGGAAGAATGGCAGAAAAAAAAATACAATACTGATAACAGTGGATATGAGTAAGGTAAAGATCAGCACTGCTACTATAAAATATAGATCAGATTTGAAAAAAGAAAGATTTCAAAAACTTGTCCAGGGGTCACATAGATACTAGGGGTCAGAGGTAGGCCTATTTAGCAGTGTGTGAACTATCCCCCTACTATGCTGTGAACTTTATTCATTGTTTAATCCTCCCCCCCCACAAATTCCTACTGCAATTTCTCATT